TATGTTAATCCACAAATGATGTCATAGATGCTGTATATATATTTTTAAAATAGACCTTGACAGACCAAATAACATGCTTCTTTGGCATTTAATATGGAAATTATATTCCATCGTGAACTCATTATTTCCCTTCATTTTAAATAATACTGAAATTCAGTACTAATTTGTTAGAGTTTTTGAAACTTGGTATAATTTTACAGAATAGGTAATTCAATTTTTAAATTAGAAATACAATAAATTATAAGTCCCTTGATTTATCTTTTGATTACCAGAAATTTTTCAGTAATAAAAATGGGAATAGTAACAATTTTATTAAGATGTGGAACAAATAAATGAATATAAAAGCCTCTGAGCCAAAAAGGGTTAGTAGCATAAAACAGTCTTAAAACTATTTAATAGGAAGATTACATTTAACAGTGACACATTCAGATCAAATGAATTCAATAATGAGGACAAAAAACATAGCTTGTAAGATCCAATCATCTTGTTTAACCTTTAGTATAAGGTTGATCACAGGAGTATTTTTTAAAAGCCTGCTTATTTTCCTGAAGACAGAAAAGATGCTACAGAATATAACTGAAACTGAATAACACTGTAAGTGATCCATAACTAGTGGTGATTTATTAAAGCATCAATGTGGCAAAATCCAATATGACTAAAAGACTAGGCTCATGTACCACAGGGACTCACCACTAGCTGGAAAGATAAGAACTGTGCTAACAACAGAATTTATATACTCTGTTGCTACCATGTTCATAGTTATACTAACAGTTTTAAGGATTTATGTCATATTTATCTTGGTATCACCCAGTGTCTGGTATCCTCAATGGATTCATAAAAATATATTGAAAGTATTCACAGGGGTTGGGGATTTAGCTCAGTGGCATAAGCGCCTGCCTTGCAAGCAGGCAGTCATGAGTTCAATCCCTGGTACCGATAAAAAAAAAAAAAAAAAAAAAAATAGAAAGTATTCACAGATGAACCTAAGTAAAGACACATTAAAACAATTTAATAATATCATTAAAAAGATTTAAGAGGGCTGGGGATTTAACTCAGTGGTTTAAGTGCTTGCCTGGCAAGCATGAGGTCATGAGTTCAATCGCTGGTACCAAAAAAAAAAAAAAAAAGTTAAAAAAAAAACTATATAATAAGTAAAATTATTTTTAATTGTAAAGACTTGAAAATGTACCATGGACACAGTGGTGATAAATTCTACCATTAAAAATCAAGTTTATGAAGCACCCAACACGGAGCATCAGAAAAAAGCAGGGATCCAACAGAAGAGAATATGGAAAATTTCAGAGCACAGAAAATAGAAATCACAAAACTTATTTATGAAATAATGCCAGATGCACTGGTCCAAAACAGAACTGGCTATGTACGTGCTAGGGAAATGGGGTACAATCATTTCTCTTGAGGCCATAAGGAACTGAAAGTTTTGGATCATGCAAGTAGCAAGACTTATTAGTTTGTATTGACAAGAGTGACTGGGCAGTAACACATGGAATAGAGTATGTGTGAAAAAATACCAGATCTTAAAATAAGTAAGTAAGAAGGTGCAAGTAGGAGGCAAAAAGTAATGGAAACAGCAGTAAAACTGGAGTAGAACTGATGAATGTGAGAAAATTACACAGAATGACCCCTGATTTGTATTTAAAAATACAAAATATATATCCTTGGGGCCGGGGATTTAGCTCAGCGGCATATGTGCCTGCCTGGCAAGCGCGAGGTCGTGAGTTCAATCCCCAGTACTGCAGAGAGACGGGGGTGGTGGCTCATGCCTGTAATCCCAGCACTCGGGAGGCTGAGGTGGGAGGATCCTTGCCAGTTCGAGTTTGAGACCAACCTGGGCTACAAAGTGAGCTCACGGCCAGCCTGAACTGTATAGCAAGACTCCATCTCAAAAGAGACCAAAAAAAAAAAAAAAAAAAAAAAAAAAAAAAAAAAAATATATATATATATATATATATATATATACACACACACACACACACACCCTTAACTTATGTATTCTTAACTTCCTTAATTACCTTACCTGTAGTCTAACACAGTAATTTACTTAACCTAGAATACCACATTAGACTTCTAACTGCTAGCCAGCTTCCATTCTTACATCCATGTTCAACCTACTGCATAGCAGCCAAAAGAATCTTTTTAGGTGTCACATCCCTTGGTCAATATCTTCCAACAGCTTCCATTGCAATTGAAATAAAATCAAAATTACTTGCTATGGTCCAAAGGACAGTTTGGCCTTTGCCACCTTCTTAGATTTCTGTCTTGAATCACTTAGTTCTGGCTTTTTCCACCTTCATTTGATCCTTCTCAACAGAGTTCATTTTCACTGAGGGAGTTTGCACTAGCTATTCTCTCCACCTGGAATTTTCTCCTAGATCTTCAAATGACTGGCCTTCAAAAATTTCTGTATCTCTGGTCAAATGCCATTTTCTCTGATCTCTCTTCCCAAAGTAACTTTCTGTTTATTCTATCTTACTCTTCAGAATAATTATCAACTCAACAATTGCTCTTTAACTGTGTATGCATGCTATCTCATTCTCTCCCACCAAAGGAAAATATACATGATTTGATACCTGTGTTATTTGCCATTCTATGCAGAGGCCCAGGCTGGAATACTGTAGACAATAAGTGTATGTTTTAAAAATCAAAATTCTTATCAGAGATGTTAATGAACAAGTAACACTGTGTACATTTTTCTGAGTTGTATCAGTTGCTATAAAGACTGAATTAAAAAGGTAAGATTTTTAGATCACATAATGCCTTAAAGAAATGAAGGCAGTAAAATTACTCAAGCTTTTGTGATTAAGCAATTTGGTAGCTTTAAAATACATCTAACTGCCTTACCTTACAAGCTACATTCTTTGCCATAAAATTTAGACAGCAAAGGCATGTAAACTCCCTGTAAACTAGGAGACAGCCACAAGATATTCTTCATGGGAAATGGATATGGAACTTTCTTCATCTACTATAGATGATACATCTCCTAGTTGCTATGCCTGAATCTTACACTTACAATTTAATTGAAATTAATTAGTGGAAATTAACATCAAGAAAAAAATTAGCTCTGTATGCATGTATGTATCTTGTAGTTTTATAAAAAAATATCTAGAAAATATAAAATGAAATAACTAAAGAATACAGCTTTCAAGAAGTAATTCTGTCACATAATCAAGCAAAAATATTTGAGCTAAGTAAAGAAAATGATAGGTAATCTTTTACTTGGGTTTGCTATCCAATTAATTCTCCCTTGTTTTCTATTTCTTTTAAACAATCTGGTCGTTACAGTCTGAGAGAGTAACCCTGTAGCATTTTCATTTAATAACTATGGAGAGGTAGATTATAATCAATCTTATTAAACACATCAATCTGAAGCTATCAATTCTTAAAAGTTGCTAAGTGTTTTTCAAAGAGAAAACATTACTATTTGTTAGCTATATATACCATAAGTTTTGTTTTTATAAAGGCTGTTTTACTGCCACTGACTAATGAGAAAATCCCATGTTTTATTCAAATATTTATTGTATGTCTCCTGTGTGTCACTACAGTGGTACTCTACTTTCTGAAACATTTTTTAAAGAGATAAAACATTGCCACCTGACAAGTTTGAGAGTAGCTTCCCTATAAAAAATGGGTTATTCCTGAATTAATGGGTTATGCAAGATAACCAAAAGGACTCCATATCTCCCAGCACCCTACAGTTAGCTAAAGGTTTGTTAATCTCTGAACATATGATAGTTTCTGAATCATTTTTACTTTAAAATAGCAACATTCATCTTATAGAGTATAATGTAATAGCAGTTCATATCATCTGATGATCCAGTGTTTGGGACACAAGAAAAGATGAATGTCAGAAAGTCAGAGGTCTTAACATTGCAATAGAGTTGGTACGAGTTGAACCAGCAATGGAGTACTCAGGCAAAGTTCTAAAAGATCTTCAAGTATGCCACTAGATATACTCATGACTGTGTACATACCCCATTTATCCAAATATTAATATGCATTAACATTGATATAATGTTTATAGTGTAAACTGTATACTTAGCTAATTACTGCTTTTACTATACATAGTGACTGAAGATCTTTAATATAAAAAACAAAATCTAAACTTTTGAACATCTACATGATGCTCCAAAAGTTTCTCATTTTGAAGTATTTTGAATGTTGAATTTTTAAATTAGAAATGGTCAACTGACAAGCTCTATGAAAATATTCTGAACTCTGAAAAAAAATCAGAAATCTGAAATGCTTCTGTTCCCAAGCATATCAGATAAGGAATATTTGACTTGCACTCATTAATCTATAAAAACCCTCTGAGGCCAATACTAAGTTTACTCCCATTTTATAGAACAAGAAACTAAGGAGAGATGTGCAAAATAATCTTCCCATGACTACAGTATAATTATTAAGAATTCATTCTGGGGTCTCTGACATAATTCTATGAACTTCCTACCATTTAACAGAAAGATGAGATCCAATATATAAAACCTGCAGACATTAACTATATGCTAAATAAGAAATTGCTCTTTCACAAGGTAAAAACTGAACAGCTTTAGAGAAAATCCACAAATCTGATAACTTCAAAAGAAAAACTAATGAGAAATAAAATAATAGTTGTGATTTTAAAAGGATTAAAATGAATAAAACAAGAGGCAAATTTTTCTAGTCATACCCAATGTAATGACTATACAACATAGCCTGATAGGATTCATATGACTTCAAATAAATGCTGAAAAAGGAAAAAAACAGACTGAATATTTAATATCCAAAAATTATAGAAATGATTTATTTTGAAGACAATGAAATATAGAATCATATTTTAACAATAGGATATAATCCTTTTTATCAAAATTTGGTCAAAACACTTTGGTCTTCATACAAGTATTATACAACATTCAATTAAGGCTCTTCTATAGATTTTATATTTTGCTAGAATAATGAAGAGAAGATAATAATTTGAATTAGTGCAAATAACAAATTCTACATACGTTCTTTTGACATCTTGTTCAATCATTGATCGAAGTTCTTTATCTTGGAAAAATTTGTTCCAAAGACTCTGAAATAAGAACAACCTAATTAAAATTACTTCACATATTTGCCTGATATTAGTTCAACTTAATAATTTAAGTGATTATTGTATGCTCTTCTATACCCAATTCAGGGTTCTCAGACAGGAACTCTGAGCTTGGGATAATTCTTATTAAAATCTAGTTTAATCTCAAAAATATATCTTTATTCTAACATCAATATTTCCAAATTGACATTATTACATGTATTTTTAAAATTTCTATTATCTCTATAATGATCCTTTTCACTGCTAGTAATAAGCTATTACCCTTCTAAACACAAAGATGCCTGGATTAAACAGAATTCATAGGCCAACAGGTTGCAAGTTGAACCTCATCTGAATTTCCAGTGCATTAAGAGAGATTTATGTTTTCTATAAAGCTTCATTTTACAATATAAAAGGCTTTTATGTAGGTTTTGAAATGGGAACTTAGGTAAGGTTTTAAAAATTAACATTTTAGATTGTTATACCAAACACTATATTATACAAACTACATTTAACAGGAAAAAGACATTCTAATATTATTTATTAAATATTATTAGGAAAAATGTTTTCTCTTCTCAGCTAAATAGGAATTATAGCAGCAAGAATTAAAGTTATACAAACTCATATCTCTCTCATTAATATCCCCCTCCTCTTCCCTCTTCTTTCCTTCCTTTATACCCCTCAATGGTCGGTTTGAACCTGGGGCTTCACATATGCTAGGCTGCGGTTCTACCACTGAGTTCTATCCCCAGCCTATAAATTACACAAAATTTCTAAAGTAATAATCTAGCCTTCATTGGAGTATGAGTAGAGGTAGCCTTTATTTTTTTCCTGACTTCTTTAAAAACTTCTTTACATACCATAAATAGTTACTTCCTCCTTCCTGGGAGTTAGTTCTGCTAAGTGGACCATTCTCACTTTTCTTCTCAAATGGCGGCTTGCCTTAGCTGCCCCAATCCCCACTGTTAACTGATTAAGACAGTGCAGTATGCCCTTCTATTTTACTTTTAGTTCTGACAGACTGCTGGGATTTCTGTTGTGCCCTTCTAGAGAAATAAATTATAAACTTCCTATAATACAGTACACAAATATATCACAGAATTATTTCTATCAGGTTTCAGGTAGTATTCATAGAGTAAAGAAAATACTTGGCATGAAACACATTGTTTTCTCTACAGATTTTTAACCAGCTACATAAGCATACTCTCATGGGTAAAAGAGGTTGAGATAAAAATAAAGACAAACTTTACCCCTTCATCCTGTGAAAGGGGATTGTTGATCATCAAATCTTGCTGCCCAACAACCTTCCTGGGGTTTGTGATATGCTGGTAAAGAAATAAAACACACACATACACACAAATAAGATTAGAGGCTACTTATCTGTGTACAGAAGAAAACAATTCATTAATTACATTTACTGATTACTTACTATTTCTTTAATGTTGCTATACCATGATCTTAATTCTTTAATTCTACTTATCCACTGACTTTTATCTTGAGGAAGAACACAAAGAAATAGCTGTCAAGAAAAAAAAATTTTTTTTCTTGTAAAAACTGTTAAGTAGTACAATGTGAAAGTAGGCCACGAGAATCACCAAAAGAATTGAGATGTATCATTAATGAAATTTCACAGGTATGTAATCATTTCAATTTTAATTCCTAGTAATTTTGTATTTGAAAATATTTAAGAAACATATAATAAGAAAATTCAACACTAAGCAACCAAAGGCCAAGGCTAACATCTCAAAAACTACAAACCACAGAACAAAATCAGAAATCTTTCAGATTGAAATACAGTAAAATTTCCATTTTGCATTCTGATCTTACTGGAAGTGACAGAGTTATTAAAAAGCAACAAATATGATACATAATTTCTAGATTTAAGGGTTTTTCTTAAAATAAAGTTAAAGGATAGAGAAAAACAGTTTGAGTACTGAGGACACATATAAAATAGTCATTCCTTTTATAGCACAAATGTAATTTACAACTAGCAATCAGCTAAGAAAATAACCATTCTTAAAAAGACAAATTTGATTTAATTTAGCTTAATACAACATTAAAATAAATTTGGATTCAGGTTTATTTTTAGCAAATGAAGGATACTAAAAGTTAAACAACAGGGAATGGGGGTGCGGCACAAATATTTGTATACAAATACTCTAGCAGCAGGTCTCCTGTCTTTATCGCCTGCAACTAACAGAAGAAAAATGTATTTTAATTATCAATTCTAAATTATTAAATCTACAACTGTCAAATACATCATGCATTTCTTGCTGTCTTGACTTGCACAGTCTCCATATGCTCAATTTATTCAGATAACCCTTAAAATTTCTGATAGAAGTTATTTTAAAAATGAGACCAAACCTAAATTAATTCATTTTTGGAGATCAAAAAGAGACTATTTTTCAAAGCAGTTAAAAAGATAACTGTAGATTATTACTGCTAGCTTTGGCAAGCAATGACCCTTTCCCTCAGAAGGAAACTGACCTAATTTCCTGCCATTTTTCCTTCTTACTGTCCTTCATTTTGTGTTTCTAGCAAACAAAATAAAATAATCTTCCATTTTTATTTGTAAGAAAAAAGGGAGGATGATTACATGAAAACATTTGTCATAATAGGAACATGAAAGTAATTTACCACCACCACTTCTGCCTAGCTTCAAGAATTTCTCTAAAAGCTTTTAGATAATATAATGGTGTTGCTCTGAGATTTGTATCATCAAAACAAAAGACAAGACAATTATTTCAAATGATTTCTTTTATCATCATCAGTTATTTAAGAATAAGGCAATTCAACCTTATTAATAAACATCCTATGAAAGATTAAACATGAGTAGCAAAAAAACTGGGATCAGAGTCTCTTGGTAAATTCTATTATCTACCCCTTCTCCCTCCTCCACGGGTGATCTTCCAGAGCATCAGGTAATGTGGTGATGTATTGCAACCACAAACTGTAAATAAATATTTTTTTCTTACCTTCCAGCAAATGCTGCGGAACCTGCTGCTTCTCAGCTGTCCATTAATTCCTTTCTGCTTTATTGTTGCCAAGTAATTGTTGTTTACAAATAGTTCTTCCCATTCTTTCCTATTTGAAAGAAACCAAAGCATGGGAATCCTTTTGTAAAAATCTGCTTGGAGAACAGTATAATAGAAAATTAATTTTAAATAAATCTAAGAAATGCAACTTTTAAAATGTATATACATTTAGTTATTCTCTGTTTCTAAATGCATGGCTGTCTTTTTGGATACTCTTCTTCTGTAGATTTAATGAATATGTAGATAGCTATAATTATGCCAGCTACTGAAATTCATAATGTCTATAGAGGCTATTCTGTTTCCTCTAAAATGTTGGTATTGCAATTCAGTGAAAAACAACAACAAAAATGATAAATACTAAAAATATATAACTGATATGGACATTTACAAAGATAAAGCTGCTCCAAAAATATATATTAAAAAAAAGTATGCTGTTGACTATGTTGGCTAGAAATATGTTTGAATAAAAACCATTTCTTTTTAATGTTAGGCTGGGTATTTAAGTACAACAGAAGACTACTTTTAACTTTGGTGCTATTTATTAAAATTCTTTATATATAATCAGTTTTAATATTTTAAAGGTACAGGCAAATAGGATGAAAACATCAGAAAAATAAAAAGGCCTCAGTGTAAAAACTGCTAAAAGTAAGCCTGTGTACCTGGCAATACCTATGGCAGAGTAGATAAACAACCAAAATATGCCTCCTAGGCATGCAGACACCAGGGGTCTAACACCTGTGCCTCATTAATATACAAGTAAATCTGCCGTTCTGGGAAACAATTGGAAATTAATTGTCCCTAACCATTTATTCTGTTTGAATAAAAGACTTAGACCTACATGCCCAACATTTTGTACCAAACTAAACATTAAAAATCATTTGTCAAGAGTTGAGGCTACTGAGACCAACTTCATGAAATTACTGTGAAATTCCATTATGCCACAATAAAATTAACTTGTAATTTAAAATATATTATCAAAGCTGAAAACCAATACACAATTTCTTGAGAACCTTCCTAAAGAGAAAGCCATTAAAACCTTCAGTCATCTTTCTATATACATGTAGCTGTCACTGGCCAGATCCCTCTCATTTGGAGAAAGGACAATTTTTCATATTATGCTTACAGCTATGAATATAGCCAATTTGAAATCTAAAGTTCAAAAGCCTCACCACAAGTCAACGTAGACTTTTTCCCCAGAGTTCAAGACAATGGCAAATTCCCTACTTGCAGCCTATAGCACTGGTTCCCAGGCACAGGAATCTTCCTGCCCAAAAGGAGTTGTGTCTATGGATTTCCACTACTAGTTCAGAAAAATTTTATATTCTCATCACTCTATTAGTGAAAAAAAAAATTAATTTGCATTTGTGCTGTTAGTAACATTGATAATTCTTCCTTTCCTGTTCACTGCTGAGTTTAAGCAGTTTAAGACAGCAATTAAAGAGTATAGAACCAGGGGCTGGGGATTTAGCTCAGCGGTATAAGCACCTGCCTTGCAAGCAGGCAGGCAGTCGTGAGTTCGATCCCTGGAACCAATGAAAAAAGAAAAAGACCAAAAAAAAAGTATGAAACTGAAAGCTACAATCTTGAGATCAAGAAGCCAGTTTTATAGTCAGAAACAGCACTGGGTTTACTAGCTACTTCCTGCCTACATCAGCATGAAAAAGTGCCCTAGGTCTTTTATCTGTGAAGTGGAATGACAGTTCCTAGCTTCATTCTTAAAGAATAATAAGGATTAAAGAATAAATGAAGGTTATATAACATGTAACTTTTTAAAATTTAATTACTGTTAATTTACGGTCAATAATTATAAACCATTTTATTTTAGATACTTTATTACAAATTCAAAAGAGCAATTTTTTTATATATTATAGACATTTTTGTTAGGCATGTATTTTTGAAATCCAATTAGCTTGATTTTTTCAAAGCAGTGAAGGGTTTGGTTTTGTAAATACTTTAAATCTAACATTATTTTCTCATGTTACTCTTTCCATTGGTTTGGGTATTTTGTTTTGTTTTGACCATTCAAGAATGAAGAAATACTCACTTAAATCTTCTTTGTCTTAAATTTAAATCCATTTGTAATATCTATAATATTGAAAGTATTTTTTCTTCCAAACGATTTCACACATATATTTACCTTTTATTTGTCAAAGTTTTATCTTTTTTTAAGTAACAAGTAGTTAAGTACATTAGATGAGTACAACTTAAAAAATGAATGTTTAAATGTCTTGTAGTCTGTGAACACAAAATTTCAAATGTATTTTGAACCTAAAAAATCATTTGTGAGAAACGAGGCACTTAAATGGCCTGAAAATATCAATGATTCCAGTTGAGATAAAGAAGTATAAAGCAATGGCTCTTCTAGTCTTTCACAAAAGCAGCTCCTATTCATAGGTATTAAGGAATTGTGAAAGTAAAAGCACAGCTGGTGGCTAGGTTCACTGCCATTTTGTCAAGGGAAGCATGCTTGCTTTTAAGGTCAAGTTACACACCACTTATGTAATGAAGGATAATTATTTGTTAGCTTAAATAAGACCCTGTACCTTGATTACAGTGTTGGTACAGAGAAAGGAGACTGAGGCATATGAATTAGAAACATTATCTCTGAAATTCACAATCACTTAAATTTATTCATGGGTACTTAAAGTTCTAATTAAGGCATACTATCTCAAACTGATGAAAGCTCTACCAACAGAGGTACACAAATTCCAAAGATAATCTACTAATTGTCTTTGTCTTCAATGGAATTGCCTCATCATTAAATTGTGACACAGTAAATAAAACAAATATTAAGTGCCTATTATGTAGACAGCATTCATAAAGCTTTTAAAATTTTTTATTAATACGTCTGCAATACATGATCATTACATTCATCTTTGGGTGTAAATGTATGTAGCACACTTTAATTCTTTTTTATATCCCCTCTGTTCTTCTCCCTTTCCTTTCCCACTACTGGGCCCCCTTCTTTTTGCAATAGATCTACCTACCTATTTTCTATCATCTATCATTTATTTTGCTTTTTATTTATATTTACTCATTTATCATGTATGAATGTTTATGTGTTTGATTTATTTCACTTAAAATTCTGGTCTCGGGGCTGGGGATTTAGCTCAGCGGCATAAGCGCCTGCCTTGCAAGCAGGCAGTCGTGAGTTCGATCCCCGGTATCAATTAAAAAAAAAAAATTCTGGTCTCAAGGTGCATCCATGCTTTATCTTGAAGCTACAAATGCTTCAAGTTTATCCAACTTTATGGCACTACAGTACTCCACTGGGTATAAATAACACATTTTCTTCATGAATTCACCAGTTGATGGATACAGGGGTTGCTTCCAAGATTTTGGCTATTATGAGTTACACTGCTCTAAACATGGGTTGTCAAAGATCACCATAATGATGTCCTTAACTATTTCAGGAAGATACACAGAAAAGAAGTTGCTGGGTTGAGTGGAATTTCTAGTTTTTATTTTTTGAGGAAACACCAATTCAGATTTCTATAGTGACTCTACTAATTCACATTGCCACCGGCTGATATAGTGGTTCCTTATTCTCTGCAGCCCTGCCAACATTTGTCATTGATTTATGATTACAACTATTTTTATGGGAAAAATCTCAGTGTTGTTTTGATTTGCACTGTTTTAATAATCAAAGATGTTAAACATTGTTTTTCATGTATTTATTGGTCACTTGTACTTTCTGAGAAGTGTTCATTCATTTCATTGCCTGGTTCTTTTTGAGAGGTCTAATTATTTTGAGTTCTTTATGTAGTATATATATTATATACTCTGAGGAGTAACTGGCAACATTCTGTACTTGTTTCAATTTGATATGATAGCATTTATTGATTCTTGATATTGTTTCTTGTACAACTGGGGTTCTGTTCAGAAAGTTCTTTCTTCTATCTATGATTTCAAGTTTTACTTATTTGATCTTCCAGCAGATTGTTTAAATACTTACATTTTGATTCATTTTCATTACTTTAGTATGCAGTGCAACATACTGGTTCTGCATAATAACAGCTAGAATTCTAAGCACTATTTGTTAAAAAGGCTATCTTTCTTCCAGCGTTTGGATCCTATGTCAAAGATCAGATAGCTAGATATGCCTATGCTGTTTCAACATTTTCTATTCTGTTCAACTGACCCACCTTTCTACTATGATGACAAGACCATTATGGTTTTATCACTGTAGCTTTGTCAATAAGATTTGAAATTTGGTATTGTGATGTCCTTTGCTTTGTTCTTGTTGACTAGGAATGCTTTTACTATTCTGGATCTCTTATGATTTCATAGATTTTAGATTTCAGTTATCTGAGCACTGGATTGCATTTAATCTATATCAGTTTTGGAAGTTTGAGAATACTGGTTCTGCCTATTCAAGAACTATGAACATCTTTCCATTCTCTGATGCCTTCTTCAATTTCCTACTATAGTTTTCAGTTAGCAGTCTTTTACTCTCTTGATTAGATTCCTAATTATTTACTTGAAGCTACTACTATGAATGGAATTGTTTTTATAATTTTTCAGTGAGTTTGCTGTAGCTATTCAGACACTATTGATTTTTTGTGTGATTTTTGTATCCGGCTAGATTACTAAATTTGATTATTAATTCTAGGAGTCTTTCAGTGGAATTTTTAGTTTTCTATGTAGAGGATCATATCTTCTGCAAATAATGATAATTTGACTTCTTTTCCTATACATACCATCTTTTTTGTTTTTCCGTGTCTGATTGCTCTGGCTAATGTTTCCAGTGCTATATTGAACAGAAATGCTGACAGTGGACATCCTTGCCTGGTTCTGATTTTAAAGCGAAAACCATCAGCTGTTCATTTAATATGATGTTAACAAAAGTTTGCCATATATGGCTTTTATCAGATTGAGATAAAAGTTCTTTTATACTTATTTTTTTCAGCATTTTTACCAGGAGTAGCTGTTGGATTTTGTGATTTTTGTGGGCCGGGGTGGAAAAGTGTGTCAAATGGTGTGATTTTTTTTTTTTTTTTGTCCTTACTTCTATTTCTATGACATACTACATTTATTGATTTGTGTATG